AATCGTACTTTCTTTAATGATATGGACCACCATGTCGGATTTTGGCCAATGACGTTATCACATTAGCATAAAGTATGCATATTACTTCAACAAATTGAATGAAATCATATGTTATTAATATTTGAAGGCATGTGTAGATTAAGATAAAAGCATGAAAATGTCATTGTTGAAGTCAAAATTATTGATTTTTGCGGAAAATGCCTGTCAGAAACCGGATTAAAAAAATATTTCACTGCTATAAAACTGTTGCCAACAATATAGTTAAAGTCATTTAGTTTGGTGGCCCTTGCAAAAGCCGTTATCTGACATCAAGGTTGTCGCGGGCACTTTTAGCCCCCCCCCCCCCATTCTAGATAGGGTTAACTGCTAAGCGCTATCAAAAAGTAAATCGATCTATACAAAGCACTGCTTATTAAGCGAAAATATTTAGACTTAAAACTATGTCTATATTAGGTGTTAAATAGACTGTAAACTTAATGATTTCTTGGTGTCAAGACTACTCTTAGATTAAAATTGATTTCATATATGACGCGTCAAGCAAAATTACGGTCACTTTACTACATTCTTTAACGTTCTGTATATAGGTACATTGATCGATATAGACATAAATGTATCTATATGTATCTGAAGAAGGAGTACCAAGCTGTAACGTCCGTTATTGTGTTTTAATATTTCTATTTTAAGTTTAAATGTAAAAGTTTAGGGAAAATGGCTAGGCTCTTTGAATTAGTGTGCGCTTATCATTTCCAGATGTGGCTTCTTGGACGACATTGTTTACGCCCTTGTTAACACAAACCCCAAACCAATGATGATAAATGCAAACAGTTCGCGGATCTGTGATACTGATACAATTACCTTTCAAACGACACCAAACTTGACCCTCTGGTATCTCCGGTTGCCCTAACCCTAACACTACCTTAAGGCGCCCCTTAAAACTTCAAACGCTTATAAAACCCAAACCAAAGATGATGAATGCAAACAGTTCGCGGATCTGTGATACTGATACAATTACCTTTTAAACGACACCAAACTTGACCTTCTGGTACCTTCGGTTGCCCTAACCCTAACCCTACCTTAAGGCGCCCCTTAAAACTTCAAACGCTTATAAATCCCAAACCAAAGATGATAAATGAAAATGGATTGCGGATCTGTGATACTGATACAATTACCTTTTAAACGACACCAAACTTGACCTTCTGGTACCTTCGGTTGCCCTAACCCTAACCCTACCTTGAAGCGCCCCTTAAAACTTCAAACGCTTATAAATCCGCGTCCCTTAAAACTTCAAACGCTTATAAATCCCAAACCAATAATGATAAATGCAAACAGTTCGCGGATCTGTGATACTGATACAATAACCTTTTAAACGACACCAAACTTGACCCTCTGGTACCTTCGGTTGCCCTAACCCTAACCCTAACCCTACCTTAAGGCGCCCCTTAAAACTTCAAACGCTTATAAATCCAAGACCAAAGATGATAAATGCAAACGGTTTACGAACTGTTTATACTTGGGCCATTATCTTTCAAACGACACCAAACTTGACCTTCCGGTACCTTCGGTTGCCCTAACCCTAACCCTACCTTAAGGCGCCCCATAAAACTTCAAACGCTTATAAATCCCGAACAAAAGATTAATAATGCAAACGGTGTGCGGGCGTTTTATACTGAGACCATTACCTTTTAAACAACACCAAACTTGACCTTTTGGTGCCTTCAGTTGACCTAACCCTAACCCTACCTTAAGGCGCCCCTTAAAACTTCAAACGCTTATAAAACCCAAACCAATGATGATAAATGCAAACAGTTCGCGGATCTGTGATACTGATACAATTACCTTTTAAACGACATCAAACTTGACCCTCTGGTACCTTCGGTTGCCCTAACCCTAACCCTACCTTAAGGCGCCCCTTAAAACTTCAAACGCTTATAAATCACAAACCAATAATGATAAATGCAAATGGATTGCAGACCTTTAATACTGTCCGTTACCTTTCCATCGACACCAAACCTAACCTTCTGGTACCTTCGGTTGCCCTAACCCTAACCCTACCTTAAGGCGCCCCTTAAAACTTTAAACGCTTATAAATCCCGAACAAAAGATTATTAATGCAAACGGTGTGCTGGCTTTTGATACTGATACAATTACCTTTTAAACGACATCAAACTTTACCTTCTGGTACCTTCGGTTGCCCTAACCCTAACCCTACCTTAAGGCGCCCCTTAAAACTTCAAACGCTAATAAATCCCAAACCAAAGATGATAAATGCAAACAGTTCGCGGACCTTTAATACTGAGACGTTTACCTCTCAAACGACACCAAACTTGACCTTCTGGTGCCTTCGGTTGCCCTAACCCTAACCATACCTTAAGGCGACCCTTAAAACTTCAAAAGCTTATATATCCAAGACCAAAGATGATAAATGCAAACGGTTTGCAGACCTTTAATACCAAGACCATTACCTTTCAAACGACACCAAACTTGACCCTCTGGTACCTTCGGTTGCCCTAACCCTAACCCTACCTTAAGGCGCCCCTTAAAACTTCAAACGCTTATAAATCACAAACCAAAGATGATAAATGCAAATGGATTGTGGACCTTCAATACTGGGTACATTACCTTTCAATCGACACCAAACTTGACCCTCTGGTACCTTCGGTTGCCCTAACCCTAACCCTACCTAAAACTATTTCTCATGAAATCACATATGCATGTTACATTATGTAACTGTTATGTATAACGATAAAAGCTGTATACAGGACAAAACCTGCAATATATTCATATCAATTACACATCGAAATCTATGAAAATGTTCCTACCCCCCTACAAGTGAGTGAACCATTCTTCCAAGAACTTCCCAAAAATGCATTGTGGCCCCGCCTCCAATCATTTGCATGCTGATACAAAGCTGCAAACACTTTAAAGCTTGCTACATGTTGTAAGTGAAACCTGAGACCCTTGAGATTGTGGCAGTATTACAAATTGTTGCTATTCTCCTGTGAACTACGTGTGTGACTTGTGGATTATGTGTAAATGCTGATTGAAGTTTTTTAAAGGTATAATAATGAAATACCATAATTCAAAATCTAAGATTATATTCTATATTTATATTTTGCATGCAATGATCAACAGCAAATTGTGTGAACTCAGAGTCAGATCTCGAGTTACAATATAGATGGATAATGTACATGTGTACTAAGATATAGATTAGACTGCATGTGACATATACATGTACATGTACTTCTCAATAACCTGTAAGAATGCAGGCTGTTAATTTGGTACTAGTATTTTTCCAGGGGCTATGTTTATTCTGGGCGGGTATATTTATTAGTTTTTGAAGATTTGTCGGGGGTACTTTTATTCCGGGGGTATGTTTATTTGGACCTGTATTTGCAAGAGACACATACACCACGAGAACACATTTTAGTAGCATAAAAACTGCTTACATATCAATTGTAAAACTTTCCGGGGGGTACTTTTATTCCAGGGGGTACATTTATTACATTTTGAACATTTATCCGGGGGGTACTTTTATTTCAGGGGGTACTTTTATTTGAGAGGTGAGAGAGTATCAATGTAAAAAAAATGTTGAACATTCTAGTTGTGTGAATAAATTATTTCATCACATGTGTCCTGTTTTATCTATAATTCTCACCATCTGTTTCTCAAAATAGTATAAAAAAAGCTCCTTAGAAGATTTAGACTTGAATATTTAGCTTTCCCATAGTCAGAAACCTATTTTTAGACATATTAAACGTCCGGAGTTGATCTGCTTCTAATTCTGCACCGGCAAAAAATGTCCCTAGAAACACACGCATAAAAATCATGACTGTAGCATGTTTATAACAGGAGATACAAAGCCCGGAAGGTCGGCTGCAGTACCAAAAAGCGCCACTAGGGGGCGCCAAAAGTCAAATCAAGTGGCCCGCGTACTTTTTCAAAAGGGTAATGTCTCATGCGTATTTGTACCAAGTTTGGTGCTTGTATCACAATTTGAAAGATTCTTCCAAAATTTGATGTTAGCTGCTCCACTATTATGACTTATAACTGTGCCGGCTTGTCGTATACGTCGCTATATGTACTGCCGTAAATTCACAATACCAGCTTTGTATTCCTGTGATTTAATAGCATTTTTATTTTTGGCCGGATTTTTCTTTTTTTCACCCGCGCGCACTAGTTTGGAGGACGTCTGAGGATGTCATCCATAAAATTAAGTCGTTGTGGCCTTACCTGTTGTCTAAGGCAACGGTCTGTCACCTCCGGACGGGACGATCGCCCATTCTGGCGAGATGACAACGGCGCGCCAAAACTTTTGCGCTTGATCGATGCATCTAGGCGAGATGTTTCCGTCGGGCGGACAACCTCCGGGCCAGGGGGTTATTGGCGCCCGTAAAGGAATAAAAACCACCAAAAACTGGCCTCTCCATTGAAATGTATTACGAGACTCGTTTTTGGAAATAACTAGAGGGATAATCTTTGAACCCAGATAGCCTTACAGAGCAAGAAAATGTGTAAAACAACGATGTTCAAAATAGTTGAAATTCTACATAATGCCCCTTTAAAGCTATATTATGTAGAATTTCAACTGTTAGGGCCTATTAGGAAAAGAGACTGACCCACTTAGAGAACTGTGACAGATGGACCAGTGGCATCCATGTACATTCTTGAGTCAAGTCAGGCTCATTATAAAGTGTGACATCTTTTTTGTCAAAACTTTTATTTTGATTTGAACTCTAAAATTAAAAGAAAGGAAATCAAGGATAAAGGTCATTATAGCAAAATCAGAGACCACCCTTTACAACTGGATGTAGGTACACATTATCATACAGTTCATACAAATTGTACAGCAACACTAACTGCAAATGATCATAGATTTTGTGACTCCAATTGCGAGGAAAGGATGTTTATGTAATACATTGGCTTGTATTAGTACAATGTCATGTAACATGTATTTGCATTACTCTTAGATTTTCTTGATGCTTTACTTAAAGATACAAGATATAAATGTTGAGCAAAAGATGACATACCATATTTTCATATCATGCCATGCACCAATACATTGTACCCTGGTACTCTGTGCCTTTGACTGTTTTGTGTTGTACAGAGGATGACTTTATATTGATCAAACCAGTATGGCTTTCAGAAGAGACAACAGTTTAGTTGCAATACACACAGTATACAGCAAACACCAAAGATTTGCTCTATCCGCTATCTTAACTACTTATAAAGTTATAAAAAGAGACAGAAATAAAGATCCCCATGATTTTACTATGCAATCATGAGAGGAAAAGCTGGAGTATTGGTATTTAGTAACATAATACTCAATCAATTACTGTACCATATTATTTAAGTTTCTATAGGCCATACTCTGATATTGAACTCTTATAGATAACACAGGCAAGCAAACAAAAATAATTACCATGACAACCCATGTATGGTGAATGCAAACTGTGTCGTGTTACCCAGTGTTCTCAGTATTTCCCAAGCATCCAGAATATGAATTACTGTAATTCTTTGCTGCTGTATTCATCTTAAAAAGATCACTCAGTCTTTTAGTAAAGAGGTAGAGTGCATCTTGTATAAGTCAACCTCTTGAAAAATACTACCTCTGGCCAGTTACATGAGAACAGACAGCCAATGCCACAGCAGGGGTTGAAATTCATTCTTGGGAATAGGTGCACTGCTGCACCCTACCTAAAAAATTGGGTGCACAAAATTTTCTGTGGGTACACCATTATGAGATAAAATAAGTAGAATGTCAGCGAAAACTAATTATGTTTCATTTCTAAAGAAAAGTACTACAAGAATGATTTTACTATTTTTCTGACACTCAGATGTTAAGAATATGCTGAATACTAGTACTACTCTACATTTGACATCTTGACATATGTAAACCTACAAAAAAATATTTGGGTCCACTGGTGCACCCACAGAAAAAAATTGTGTGCACAGCTTCAAATTTGGGTGCACTAAGGTGCACACGCACCCAGTATTTCCAGCCCTGCACAGGAAACTCTCCGCACATGCAGAGGCCTTGATGCTTCCTCTGTTTACACCCAGTTGAGCTGACGGACAGCACCATAGATGTTCATGCCCAGCAGCGCAAACAGACCAAAGTAAGCAAACGCACCCTGATTCCTTTTGGCAGGATCTGAAATCATATCACATTGAAAAATGTATTATTCATTTCATCAAAATTGTATGGTTTCCTGTTAGGATATTAGGATTTTTGTTTTTACAAGATTATTTATCATCTTGCTTACATTTTTAAGTCTATCATACATAGTGATGCATACCTAAACCCAATTTCAGGTTCAGGTCCGGATTCAAGTCCAGAGGTTTAGGTTCAGGTCCGGACTTTTTCACATTTTTCAATGTGATATGATTTCAGACTTAAGTCCGGACCTAAACCCATGGCATATACAAAATTGCTTGTTGGCAACCTTGCAATGTTGTCTGGGTGAAACTTTGGCCACATAACATGGAGGCTGGTACTTGACGATGCCCGATGGCAATGTTTTCTTCATTTTGCAGCAAAGATTTTGGAATCTACGGAAGGTTTTAGGTGGTTTAAAAAGAAAAGTGGTATGTGAAATGGTCTTTTATGGTAATAAGTCCAGACTCGGTTCTTGACTTTAAGGTTTTTTTTTACTTGAACCTAAACATTTTTACAAGTCCGGATCCAAGTCCAGTGAACCGGTATGCACCACTATTCATACACCTTCCCCTGAGCTTCAGACTGGAGTAGTGCTTCTTGCTGCTATATTAAAAAACTGGTGCAGGTGGGGCTTTTGCAGCAAGAATGCAATGCCAAATGTGGCTAAGTTTGTATCCACCCTCATCCTTGTTCATCACTGGGGTTGACTTAGCCATGTTTACGTTCTCAACACAAAAGCGCCACCTACATAAGCTATTTATAGCATCGAGAAACAGCACTCTAGTCAGAAGCTCTGAGGTAGGTATTTGATAGACTTCAAAATGACAGCAATGCGAGAGACATTTCTGGTTGTTCAACCAACATGGTGCAGTTATTTTTGGTTTTCTGTTAGCTTGAAAAATTAGCCTAAAGGCCTAAATAATGGAAAATGATTATAAATTGACTTAGAATCAGTAAATTAATAAATGTATATGGCTGTTCCATGAAGTACTATGTATATAGACATATTAGTACACACCTCCAGTGTAGTACCCATGGGCATAGACAATACGGCCAGCATTCCAGACCAGACCAGCAATAGCAGAGGGAACCTGGAATTGACAACAACAAAAATTGTTGACTTTATGTTCTAAGTTATGAATGATTAAGCTCAGTTGAAGCTGGAAAAAATTCTTTATTAAATTATGCATCAGGGTTACAGTTAGCTAGTGTTACCAGTATCTTAAAAGTTGCTAACGACACTAAATACAAACAAGTTGTAGAAGACATTGCCTTCATCAAAAATTTGGATTCTTCATGGAACATGTTGAAAATTACAGCACAGCCACAAGCATTTTCAGGGCTTGAAATACTGGTGCAGGTAACTTTGAAACATGCCTGCACCTGAAAAATTTTACCTGTACCACTCAGAACTTGAGAAGTTATGGATCATACTAAAAACTGATCAGAAGCCACTGCCATTATTTCTTTAATTTTTACTTAACAGGTGTCCACAGTCAATGTAAAAAATAAAAATCCTCACACACCTACATGTACACTTGCTCACACTCACTATCCAGTTTACATGTGTAGCATCTATTGTTCCCTTTCCAAGGGTTAGACACCTATATATAAACCCAGTACATGGACCAGTGCAGGTTAGGTGCAGGTACTAGACATCAGAAATACCTTAACAGTTCCAATTTTACCTGCACTAACCTCAGCCAAAATCAACCACAGGACAGAGACAAGTGGCGTGCTGCCATCAAGCCCCAGAAGTATTGTGCAAGCATGTCTAACCCTCGGAAGATGGGGAACAACAGACGATAAACCGGACAGTGGGTGAGTGAGTGAGACTAACCTGCATATACCCAGTACATGGACCAGTGCAGGTTAGGTGCAGGTAGAAATAAGAAATACCTTAACAGTTCCAATTTTACCTGCACTAACCTGCATATACCCAGTACATGGACCAGTACAGGTTAGGTGCGGGTAGACATCAGAAATACCTGCACAGCTCCAATTTTACCTGCACTAACCTGCATATACCCAGTACATGGACCAGTGCAGGTTAGGTGCAGGTAGACATCAGAGATACCTGCACAGCCCCAATTTTTTTCCTGCACTAAGGCCACACCAATTTAATTTCTTGGTTAACGGATTCGCCCGCTTCGTTTTTTTCTGATTTGAAAATAAAAATAAAAATTCAGAATCAAGTGCAAGCCCTGAACAGTTGAAAACAGTCCTTTTCTTCCTAGTTGTTACAGCTATTCCATCTTTCATTACAGTGGTATCATTAAAAGTTCAAAATTCATTGTTTAAATTTTGAACCAGCCTGGTGTGTTGACTTCATGGCTCCCATCGTACCATTTTGGGCCATAATAGGATCCCTAGGCCTGTTTTTATTTATTTTTTTCGCCCGCCCGCTCCATTATTATTCTAGAAAAATCCGTTAACCAAGAAATTAAATTGGTGTGGCCTAACCTGCATATACCCAGTACATGGACCGGTGCAGTTTAGGTGCAGGCAGACATCAGAAATACATTAACAGTTCCAATTTTACCTGCACTAACCTGCATATTCCCCGTACATGGATCAGTGCAGGTTAGGTGCAGGTAGACATCAGAAATACCTGCACAGCTCCAATTTTACCTGCACTATAACCTGCATATACCCAGTACATGGACCAGTGCAGGTTAGGTGTAGGTAGACATCAGAAATACCTGCACAGCTCCAATTTTACCTGCACTATAACCTGCAGCATATACCCAGTACATGGACCGGTGCAGGTAGGCATCAGAAATACCTGCATAGCACCAATTTTTTTCCTGCACTAAAGGTGCATCATATGCACCCAGTATTTCATAGATGTCATAGATCCAGCTAATCTGCCAGACTCACCGGGAACTGGACACCAGCCACCAGCAGCAAGGCCAGGAACAGTGGCAGCTGCTCCAGCCTAAACATCAGAACAAAAATTACTATTAAAACATTTGATGATAATGTATAAACTGGTTGCTACTGCACCTCTGCAGCCCTTAGAGTTTAGTGCATGAGAGTTCTATCATTACTAGTACCCTACTGTAATTCCTGATTTTTTTCACTGTACTTTTATGTTCACTGTTTTCACTGTCGCTTCTCAACTTATCATTATTTTTCCTGGACTTTCTTTTTCCTGCACCTGACGCAACTGTGAACATACAGTTCTGTGAACATGTCTATTTTTCTCAGACCGTGAAATTTTGCTACCATGAATTTAAAGTGAATTACAGTATATCATTCACATCAGAACCTATCCTTGTAACTGCCGGTAGTATATACCTCTTGAATAAGGAAAGCCCAAGTTCTCGTATAGAGGTCATAGATATCCTCAGGAACCGTCTACATCATGCTACTAAAACATGTACGTCCATGTCTGCTTTTAAAATCAAATGTAAAACTATGTAAAGCTATCACAAGTAGAAGCAGACTTACATGTTTTGGTGAGCCCGTTGGTAGCAGTTGAATATTTGGTCTTTGTCACTGTACATGGTGGGGTACTGGAGGGGTGGGAGACATCATATCAGCAAGTTCAATGTTAACATTCAATATCTTTATCATTTGTATGTACAAAGGGTATCGTAATAAACTGAACTGAACTGAATGATATAGGAAGTTAAGGCATTATAGATAAATGTAACTTTCAAGAGATTCACATGTCAGTAAAATTAAGATGTCATAAACCATAAATATGAATTATAAAAAAGATTTACATGAATTCTTTCTGCCATTGTGTTTTGCACATTTGCACTAGATATGGTGTCAGGATGTTTTTCATAAATCAAAGCTTGCTGTTTTATCCTTTTCTTAAATCCAATTCTAACATCATTTCCCCCCTTAACTGGGGTAAATGATAATAGATGTGCTTGCATCAAGTGGAATCGTTTCAGACTGTAAAACTGAGACAAGCATGTTATGTTTTACTATTGTTTATTATGGAAGAAGGTTACTATTTTGCACAAATTGCATATTAATTAAGTTGATGATCTTCTCTAGACCCAAATAGCATGTCGTCTTTATGCATTATGCAACCTTATTATTATAATCTAAGGATGATACAAAATGTAAATTTCCTGGTCATTTGTTTACAAGCTACATATAAAGCAACCCTACAATGTACATTGCAACTAAAAAAATGCCATTCAGGAAGTGTAGGTGTCAAAATATCACACCTTGCAAAATGTATTTTACAATACAACTGTTAGCAAATTATGTTTGTTTACATTCTGGTATTTTGTGGTGGTGCCTCAAAATGAGTGCGTGGGCTGTTTTTGCACCAACGATAATTTTGTTGTTGTTGTTGTCCTTGTTTATCATCTATTTTTATGCCAGACGTGGTCCCATAATTTTCAGAAATGTGAGATGATTGTACAAATATGTTAAAAAGTGATTTAACGTTACATTTTTATAAAATATTTCAACTTTTTGGTGTAAAAATATAACATAATGCCCCTTTTAATAATAGCAAAGAAGACTGCAACAGCAACAATACTCACTTCAGCAACTGTGAGTATTATTACGTATTATTATGTAACAGTCACGGACTATGTATGTTTGATCATGGAGTACATGTAGTTGACGTTCCCACAGTGTCTGGTTGGTTCTAGCCGTGGCGACTCGGCAAACCTTTTCGTATGATACATACAGGATCATACAAAAACATTACCGCGTCGCCACGGCTGGTTCGTTCAAGTGTCGTGGCATGTAGAGGGAAGATCCGGACCCGCAGGCTAAAAAGCCTACCAACCCTAGGATGGTATGCAGGTATGCAGGTAACTCCGTCCGTCCACTGACGAATCTGCGTCCGTCGAATTGCGACCAACGTTACATGTATGTAGAAAAGCCGAGTTCAAATTTATAACGCTAGACCCAAGAAAATTCTGCTGGTTGACAAGCGCTGAAAGAAGTTGAAAACAGTGCCCAAGAAGTTAGGGAACTTACGTCCGGTCATAAAACTCAAGAGATTGAGGTTAACCCTAATTTCTACGTTCACATGCATGACAAAAGAATCTACCCCCCAACAACATGATTTGCACCCCTTTACCTTGACGCCGTACTTCTTGCGTGCTTTCCCCACATTGATGCCCAGGTAGGTTGCCGTGACGAAGGTTGCCACGAGGCTGAGCACAACGTAGCCGAACTCTGGCGCGACTTGAAATGCCATTTTTCTCCGGTAGTTTATAGTTGACACGGCGAGAGGACACCAGCTGAGCAGCAAACTGCACTAGAAACAGGGACGCTGGGTGCCACGCCTACCCACGCTATACGTAGGACAATGGCGCAGCCTAAACAGTGAGGGGGTAACTCTACAGTAAGCTATTTTCAATAGCCTAAATTCTGCTATCATCTGTATTTTGAAAAATGGCTAAAAAGGAATAACTTCTGTCTAAAGATATTCAAATCTAACAAATACGTAAATTGCAGTATTTAGTGCCTGATTTCAGATCGGACATGACGGTACCCCCTATTACTTCTAGTGGTTCGATCGGAGGCCGTGACGTCATGTTTGAGCTAGCGGTCAAAAAATCCTGTAGTGCAGGTTTCTGTTCTTCAAGCAGATGTTAGGGTTGAAGTTTTATCTGACTTTAACTGTCCTGCAGCACCAGGAAGTAAGGTCAGGAGGCCGTGGTGACGTAAATTAGTGGACACATACCTTCGCTGACTAACATAATGAATAATGAATAAAATCAAGGAGGTTTAAATCTACTTTGATACTGATCATAATGTTATTGTAAGAAACAGGAGGAGCTTTGTTACATTATAACCAAGGACATTGTAATGCCCTTCATATAACGTTGTTTTTGGCTTCTTTCTCATTGTGACCATATGATGTTAGTATTTATTTGTTTTATTCATTGGTTCAGCCAGGGCTACCGAACTATGATGACCGAACTAGTGAATTTCTATATGTTGTTGCTTTATACTGTATGTTGGCATCTTCCCCGGGAGTCTTTGAAAAGTGTCTGTCAGTGATATAACGTTATACATCTGTGTCCATAATATCACCAGGGTCCATAATATCGCCACCTTGAGAAAAAGTGTGATTAAACTAGTTAAAGATATTTTTACTGCAACATACTTTTGGTATGCACAGTCCTGCACACCTCAGATGTACATACCTGAGGGTATGTTGCAGTAAAAATATCTTTAAGCACACTATTTCTCAAGGTGGCGATATTATGGATACTGGTGATATTATGGACACAGTAAAGCACTTCCTGCTGAAATAAATGAAACGGAACGTTACAACAAATTTTCTCCATTTCTGATACATGTCACCTAAAAATGTGTGTTTTCTTGGGTGGGTATGACAGAAATGAAATACTAAAATACAACACGGTGTGTTCCGCATCAACCCAGGCACCAGCCCGCCAGTTGGATCACCTCACGGCCGAAGTGTGTGCTTCACGGGCTTCTACTTGTATCCCACTGGTTTCCACAGAAAAATTCGAATGCAATTCAAACCGCTGTATCTGTCCTTGGTGCTGAAGTATCACTTCACTTGTGTCTTACATGAAAACATTCTCACGGCTGTGCCTGTACTTGGTGAGGAAGCATCATTTTACTCGTCTCTTACGTGAAAAATACACATTGCTGTGCCTGTCCTTGAAGCATCATTACCTCCATGAAAAATGGAGGTATTGTTTTGGCGTGTCTGTCTGTGTGTGTGTGTGTCTGTCTGTCTGTCTGTCTGTGTTTCCGCAACTTTGTGGTCATCATAACTTCAGAACGCCTTTATGGATTGTGATGATATTTGGTATATTGGTAAGTCTTAGGAAGACGAAGGTCAAGGTCAAATATGGGCCTCCTGGTGGATGACCTTGGTACTGCAGCAGAAATTCCGGTTTTTGTATCTTTTGTCCTGAACATGCTATGGTCTTGAATTTTTGGTGACAGATAGCTTTTCCTGTCAGAAATAAGTGGTGTGGGTTTGAACCCCCTACCAGCTTGTTCTGGAACTGCAGGGGACTTTCGGGCGAAATCTTTAAAAGCCAATAAGTCCAGATAGGAACAACATATTTTCATCATTTTGATAGGTAGGTAGCTGAGAGAGAGATGTATACGATTAAATGCAAATTATGCAAATGTTTCTTTTGCCTTTTAGGCGACACCAATTTAATTCCTTGGTTAACGAATTCACCCGCTTCATTTTTTCCTGATTTGCAAAAAAAAAAAATTCAGAATCAACTGCAAAATACTCATATTTTTCCCTGAACAGATGAAAACAGTCCTTTTCTTCCTAGTTGTTACAGTTATCCCATCTTTCAATGCAGTGGTATCATTAAAAGTTCAAAGTTCATTGTTTAAATTTTGAACCAGCCTGGTGTGTTGACTTCATAGCTCCTATTGTACCATTTTGGGCCATAATAGGATGCCTACGCCTGTTTTTATTTTTACTTTTTTTTTCGCCCGCCCGCTCCATTATTTTTCTAGAAAAATCCATTAATCAAGAAATTAAAGTGGTGTGGCCCTACGTGAAAACATTCATATTGCAGTCTGCGAAAGCATTACTACACTAATTTCTTATCCACACTGCTGTGTCTGTCCTTGGTGCTGAAGCATCACTTCATTTGACTTTCGATGTAAAAACAATTACATTTATGTGTCTATCCTTGGTGCTCTTGTTCGTCCATTATTGGTGCTAGCATGGTAAAGAAAAACAAGCTCCCTTCAGAACTGTACTTCATTTAATAATAAAGAGAATATGATACAGGGATTTGCTTCACAGTGATTCCACATTAAAGATAACCAAGTGCTGCTAACATTTCTACATTTACATCAAAATTATAGTCATCTTAATCCCACATAAAAGTATGCCCAATGATTTACTAGAGATAGACAAACATATGGCAAGATAAACTTACACAACATTACAAGGGGCCACCCCCTTAGATACACAACTCTCAGTTGCAAAACAAACATTTTCAGAGCCAGTTATTTCCCAAGAACTATAATAGAATGGAACACATTACCACAACACTTAGTGACACAACTATCTGTCGACACATTCAAGATAGGGTTGGCCCTGCACTTGGGCCACCCCGTCCCACAGATGTAAGTCGGGATTGCTTATTGCTTGCGGCCAGTCACAAAATTTATGTTCGTTTGTTTGTTTTCTTGCACTTTCTTCACCGCACCCCACCGGCCGCAATAGCCGTGCACCCTGAGCGAGATGCCCTAGATAGGGCTTTGCTCAGTATTTATAGAAAACATTGTTGGACATATCAAGTCTATCACTACGCGACTGAAGCATGGTTTTAACTTTTGTTTTCTGTAGCTCTGTTATGGACTTGTGATACACAAGGCAATTGCCATCTACATACACATTACATATTGGCTGACATTAAAGCTGCATTATGCAACATTTTGACGATACAAAAAAAGTTAATTTTCTGGTCATTTCTTTACAAAGTAAATCAACCTTATTCCATTGTAAATAAGTGCCATTCAGCAAGTGGAGATACTAAAATATGACACCTTACAAGTGTGTTTAAAAATTAGAAACATAGTTTTGAGCCATGTTTCTTTACATTTTGTTAGTTTGTGGTGGCACAAAATGTGTATGCCTTGTGTGGGCTGTTTAAATGCCAACCATAGATGTCAGAAATGTGAGATAATTGTACAAATAATATATGTTGAAAAGTTGATTTGAAATTACAACCACACATAAATTTTCGAATGAAAATATTTCAATTTTTGGTGAAAAAATGTTACATAATACCCCTTTAATGATAATACCATTTCTACTCATCCTGTGCATCTAAGAACTTTGGCAAGTTGGCATAACATTACTACTGTAACTGTGCAACTAAAATATATATCATGAAAGTTCATCTGTGTTGGTAGTAAATCATAGTAAAACGTTAAACTTTATTCCAACACACTATTTACGGGGATCAAATTTTCTGCGACCACTGTCGCCTTCATCAGGATAATTAATGACCAATCACTTCAAAACGTGATCTCGCTGAAAATTTGATCCCTGTAAAATATATGTATTAACATTGAAAGGGAAGTGCCATTTTGAGAAGAAATGTTACTACGTGTATATCACTGTCACTCTGAAAAAAGGTCTGATGACAAAATAACTCCATCTGAAAAAAGGTCTGATGACAAAATAACTCCATCTTAATAAAACAACATTTCAAAAGTCCACACCCTTTCTTTCTTAATACAAGCCTTTACTACATGATTGATAGAAAAGTCTGGCTGACAACACACACTGCTCTCTTCTGCATCATATAAAATACTTGTATCTATTCAACAGCAAATACCATGTAAAGCTCTTATCATGCTTATCATACATGTACATCATATGTACATATATCAGCTATCAAATACAAATATAAAATACAAAGTCTGAATGGTTTTTCAAATCCAACTAGAAATGTTGCAGTGCAACTGTAAGTTGTAATGACTAGTCTGTGATCATGTGTGGGCTGAGTATTCTACCCTGTGGTACCCAGGAGATTTGCCCTGCCGTCACCTCTCCTCTACACTCCCAGTCATGAGAGTTATCTGTTTTCAAGCAACGAGAATCTGAGATCATTCCAAACCTCTGAGAAGTAATCTAATGTATGATGATCTGATCACAACAAGTGCTGATAATTTCAGAAATTGCATTAACAGCAATGTTTACAGTAACACTATGTGACAAAGTGTTCAATTATTTCATTTCAAGACCGGAAAATACAGATAAAATTAAACAAAAACAATCTGCACCATCTGGATCCCAATAACTACTCATATACCAAAAATCGAAGAAATCACATTGAGCCACCATTAAAGCCACCATGAGCTACAGATGTGAACAGACTAACATTACCGAAAACAGTACCCTTCCAAGGAATCCAAGGAAGGATATGTCCTCCCTTAGTAATGAGCTAAGGCATAAATGATTTAACTCTGCAGAAAATGCAATCATCATATGCATAACAGATGTAAGATTATTCACATCTTTACTAAAAATCTGTAAGTCATTAGAACATGTTAAAATGCTGCAATATTCACAAGTAGTGATTCCTGTTTTATAAATGTTCTATTTAGTCAGATGCATGATTAATCCTGAATACATATAAATTGTCTTGCATTCAGTAGGCCATGAGTTCAATGCTAGGCTGACTCATACCAAAGACTTTAAAAAGAGTGCAATGTCATACTGCTTTTACTGCTAAGCACTCATCAAACACCACTATAACTACTAACAGTGGACTAGCCCCCTGCTGTAGTGATTGCACAATTGTGTGGCTTTGGTGTGGCCCCAAGGGCTACAGTAACGGAGATTGGTGCATGGGCAAGAACTTCGACAAGAAGCAATAAGCAAGCATGTTGTATTTGATGTCTGTTTGGAGTCCTAGAAGTTCTCCTTGTTGTAGTGGAAGTGCACACCTCTGGGGTCTGAGCTGGAGTGCTGGTTACACATGTGGTGTAGAGTGGAGGACAGACCTTTGGGACCGCAGAAAAACACGCCCACACTCACCCTGTAATATAACAACACATATATTAGTCATTTCTAGAGGATTTTATGGGATAACTATGATGATCTTACACCATAGCTTGTAAGACTAGTAACAATTTGTTAGTAAGCTTTCTGGCCAGATGAGGTGTATATACCAGGTGTGGGACTGTAACACCCTATACCTACCCAGTGTGGGACTGTAACACCCTATACCTACCCAGTGTGGGACTGTACCACCCTATACCTACCCAGTGTGGGACTGTGCGATGTTACTGAAGATCTGATCCCAGTGAGGACGGCCATAGTGAGTCTTCTGCTGCAGGCCAGTGATGACATCACTGTTTTCCTCTTCATGTAGAATGATGTTCTTGGCCTGCAAAAAAATAATCACAAAATTGAAATATAATCCAAATTTTCTACGACAGTCTCAGACTTCAGACTGCTAATAGTCACAAAATTAACATTATTGTGCTTTCCAACAGTGTATTTGGCACACTGGGATCTCTGAATATATTATTAACCCTTGTCCTGCAGAGCCCAACAATTGTTGTTTTGCACAAACAGTACCATCCATTTAGCAACGTTTATAGGTACGATTTGGCAGTGTTTCTTGTGCAACGCATCACACCGCAGCAAAATGCAACGAATGCGGAAGTAACTATGCCACTGCAGAGCAAAAAAAGTCTGGGGTCTATGACCTGATTAAGACATGAAATTATTAAAAAGTATTGTGTAAGGAATGCCAGCAGGACAAGGGTTAACAAATATGGTATGAGAAAGTGCAAACAGATTGTAAACGTTTATCTATCAGATGGGTTTCATCCCTACATTTCAAAAACGTGGTTGATCAAGACAGCTACTTTAGGAAAAAAAGGGAAATTTCAAATTTCTAATAAAACGTTGCTTTCTATAATTATGCAACATAAACTCTGTGGACAGTGCAGTCAATATCAATGCCAATGATTTGACATAATGATGTTTTAACCCTAAACTGTCAATCATCATGGAGGGAATGTATACATTTTTCTATTTCTGGTTGCAAGAATGAAAAATATAAATTTGTATGTGCTTCAGGTTTACAACATTGCAAAGCTTCCTTTTCTGACCTTGTTTCTTCTTTTCAAGTATGAATGATAATAACAATTTACATACTGACCTCTTAGACATAGCAGAGAAAAAAAATACAATTTCATTTCCCTATAAACAATGGAAACATTTTTTAAAGTTCATCTGTGCTGGTAGAATTTCGGAACAAAAAGGTGAATTGTTATAAGATAATATTTAAAAACACATCCGACAGTGTATACATGTATGTAGGATGCAAGTGTTCTAAGTCACTTGCAGCATGAATTTTTTTTCCGTCATCTCAATTTTGTTTGCCTGATATCATGTCGAGCGCTGAGCGTGACAATCCTATGGAGGTCCAAGGGGGACATAATCCCCTGGGAAAATTTGACATCTTGACCATCTGCAATGCCTTTTCCTGCATTCTGAGTGGCAAATTTTGCTGGTAGACAAAGTTTGACTAATTTTAATGACATTTTCCTCCATCTCTTCCATCCTTCCATCTCGTTACAAGAGTTTAGTCCATCAAAGATGACGGATTGCATAAAATTTTTGTACATCTTTAGGACTAAAGGTTTGTCAAACAGTGTGCAAAATACCTGGTTGCCCTGTATCTGGCAGATGCTTTTTAATTTTAGGTATTAATGGCTATTACTAGCATCAGTTAACTAAAGGCTGTTAGAAATATTGTCAAAGGCTTATGTATTATTATACTATGTAACATTACTTAATTTGAGGAAAGTAGTATCTTATACATGTAGGTGGGGCAACATAAAATTCTGATGGGCAACCTAATTTTTGCCGTAGGTTGCCCACTGGGCAACCTGGTTCAAAAAAGTATTTTGTACACTGGTCAAATGACAAAAAGATGGACGCTAGCTAGAACACTGTCCTGTGCTATGTTAGACTACCTGGTTGGCGTCCCAGCCCCTGGTGAGGTAGATGTTGTAGTTGAGGAAATCCCCCATGCCTCGCTCCAACATCTGGTTCTCCAGGGACTGCAAAAGGTCTGCAAACCACTCAAAGGACAGGGTGTCCGGGCAGATCCAGTAAAAGTACACCTTCTTCAGCTTCAGGGTGATGTCAGGGTTACAGTACTGATACCTGCATGGACCAGACAAGAAACAATTTTCCTCTGACAGAATATTATATTCATGTTACCATTTATGCTGAGGAGACTATCACAGTAGCTGGGACATAACCCTGTATTTTATGAGATTTAAGCTTTTTGGTAGATGATGTTTAAAAAGTGTTTAGTGGGCAAAAGTGTACACTTCAGAAGGAATTAGGTCTAGTACTACCGGGTAGTCACCCTTTGGAACTAGTGATAATTGGTCTGGAGCAACAACCTTAAACTAAAATACAGTAATAATGTTTCACAACCTTTGCTAATATGATGTTTACCTTTAAAAATTATGAATGTTTCTCATTAATCATGGACAATAAGATTCTAATTTGTTGCATGATGAATTACACGTATGTCAGTTGATCATATTCTCCACCCAAAGACAGTCCTGTGTTAACAAAGAAGGCAAATCACACAAGACAAAAGATACCAGTTTCAACTACATGTAATTTGTTGAGGTAGCCAAATTGACGTGACAAACTTCACCACAATTCAACTAAAGAGACTCACCAGATGTACTTCAGCACAGAGGCGAAGGGAGTCACCCCGATGCCTGCTCCCACCAGCACGCCCACCTGATAGCGGAAGATGTCTTCACTGGCTGTTCCAAAGGGTCCGTCCACGGCGATCTGCGGCATCTTCCAGGCGTCCTGGAACTCTGGCTCCTCTGCACCACAGGCCTTGGACAGAGCGCCGGTCCAGTCTCCCACTATACGGATGTGCACACTGAAGTGGTCCTCCTGAGGAGCCTATATGCAGGTTAACATAGGGCCAGTCATTGCATTGCCACATATTTTTTTTTTATTGAGTGGTTCAATGCAAGGCCTATACGACCACTTCTCGGCATTGAACTAGAAATATGAGAGAAACATGGCTACTTCAAGAGATGGCGGTGAACGTTTGATTTGAAAGCCTGTAGAAAGCCACCGTGTCAACTGTGACCCTCACTCAGGTGTAGGGACTGACACGGTCATCCTACTGGGAAAGTCTGTATCAAGGTATAAGAAAGCTGACTTACAGAAGTGAGTGTGAAGGGATGCCACTCCAGTCGTGAGATGCTAGGACAGTGGAGGAAGATGTATTGTCCTGCCTGCATCTGGAAACCTCGCTTCTTCATCTGCAGCTCCAGAACTTTGGACGGGTGCTTCACCACCTGTGTGGAACAGAATGAATGAATAAATTTAATGAATAAATGAATGAATGAACTTTATTGCTCGACAATCGTACATGGTGCAATGTGTGGCAGTTACAATACTACAAAACTAATTTCAAACTACATGTATCTTATCACCTTAAAAGTTTCTTACAACAAACTACTATCTATACAGTATATGGGTTACAATATGGTCATGTATTGATGATATGGTCTCGCTTATGAAATAAAGTGTACAGAAATTGACCTACGTAAGCAGATATGGTAGTTGGACATGACAATACTTCATGGAATGTATCGTATTGTGTATATACCAGATTGGGTGAACTTTGTCTTTAGTTAGTAGTAATAGTCTGTAACAATGTACGTAGTTGAATCTGGCAGATAGAGCTAATCTGCAGCTCCAAAGAGAACCCGCCCCAATCACGATAGACTGGACACCAAACTAGCATTGCTATGATCTCCTGATTATAGACACTCACCTTTGTGATGACAACTTTCTGCTGACTGCGGTAGAACCTTATGCAACGTTCTGCAACATAGAGGATCATGGGAGCAAGCACCCATTTCCATGTCTGGAAAAATCCAACAGAAAGCCATCTATGAACGTGAATCAATCAGATATCATGTTCAATCAGTACAGTTAACTTAAAAGACAAACAAAAGGTTTATTGAGGAAAAACTCTCCTTTAGGCCACACCAATTTAATTTTGTTGGCTCTCAGATTTTTTCAGAAAAAATATGAAGCGACAGGGCGAAAAAATAAAAACAGGTCTAGGCATCCTATTATAGGCTTAAATGCTACAAAATGAGCCATGAAGTCAACACAAAAGGCTGGGTTAAAATTTAAACATTGAATTTTGAACTTTTAATCAAACCACAGTGACTGCAATAATAGATGGGAAAACTGTAACAAATAGGAAGAAAGGACTTTCCTCAACTGTTGGGGGGCAAAACATGAGCATTTTTCAGTTGATTCAGGACCAGAATCAATTTTTTTTTTTGCAAACGAAAAAAACGAAGAGGCAAATCCGAGAACCAACAAA